TTTAGATTTTATAAACACATTGGAGACTTGGACGCTTTTAAACAGCGCTGGTGTTTTAATGACATAATTTGTTCAGTTGTTAATGAAGAATTAGTTTTTGCACAAGTTTTTATCAGATAAATTATTTATTTTTTTAAACATACTCGGATTGTAATGCACTAGCACTTTGTTGAACTGTTGAACTGTGAAAACTAAAATTATGTAAATAAAGTGTTTTGCAAAAATCAAAAAATCTCTCTCTGTCTCTCTCTCTCTGTCTCTGTCTCTCTCTATGTCTCCCTGTCTCTCTGTCTCTCTCTCTCTCTCTATTTTTTTACTCAGTAACAGATGTGATTTAAAATGTAGAGAATTACAATACTTAACAGAAAACCTACTTAAGTAAAAGTAAAAGTACAAATTTTAAAAACGACTTAAAAAGTAGTAAGTACAGCAAAAAACTACTCAATTACAGTAACGTGAGTAAATGTAATCCGTTACTTTACACCTATGTCCTCTGGTATGTCCTGTGCCTCCGCATATCGTATAAATAATCATGGTGGGCCGCCATGGCCAAAAATGCCAGGGCCATTTTTTGGTCCCAGTCCAGCCCTGCCTGAGATACTCTCTTCTCTCTACTATCTCACTCACATTTGCAGATGCTATCATCTGTGCAACGTTTCCCTGTTTGCTAGTTGCCTCGTAGCTTTTCCATGCAACAACACTGTCCTTATGTGTTTGTGCCATCTCATGCTTGCCAAAGATGACTAAAGCTTTCTTCCAGTTCTTGCAACCACGACTGACCAAACTATCATGTTTGATGTTTTTGCCAAACACTCTACATGTGAAGCAGAAAGCTGTATTCTGGGTGACTGAATATTCTAACCAGTTGTGCTTTTCAAACCAGCTGTGGTGAAATGCTCTCTTCTGCATACCAAAACTATCTTGTGGGTAGCTCTTGAGCTTTATCTGTCTGGGCCCTGTGTCTTTGTCACCTAAATCAAACCCTGTAGTGGAGTGAGTTGCTGCAGCTGCTTCATCATTTTCACTCTCTTGGTCTGTTTGCTCTCCTTCTCTCTCTGTGATAACTTGATCTTCCTCTGCCTCTTGATCCATCTCTGGATCCCCTTGCTCTCTCTGACTTCACCTTGCCTGTTGATCTTTTTCTCCCTCAGCATCTCCTTCTGCCTGACCCTTCAAGATACATTGAAACACAATGAGTTGAATTAAGGCTTCAGCCCTCCTAAAATAGGCCTAATGACGCCACTGGTGTGCAAGCTAGGTTTTTATTTGTCAAACAGGGAGCACTTGGTTCATTAAATACATGGGACTTTCTGCTGTTAGCTGGGGGCTGGAGCTAACTAATTGTTACTACCAGCAGTGATGAATACTTACTTTCTTGAAAAACTTTCTTATATCCATTCTTCTTCATTCACGTTCTTCATGCTGTTCTAGTCGGCTCTGTGTGCTTCAAGGTACACACACACTGCAGGTACCGAGTGCAAGCAAGGTCGCAGGGAAAACGTGGACTGGAGTTTCAGTGATGTGGGCGTTCTCTATATGAACAAGTGGAATGGATTGGATAACAACGCACTGAAGGGACTCTCTCTACCTTACACTATGAAGTGAAGGGAAACTGACAGATTTATGATACTATGAAGGGCTTCAGCCCCCCTAAAATAGGCCTAATGACGCCACTGTCTGAGACTCATCCTGGCTCAGAGAAACTTTAGCATGCTTGTTCAGTCAGTTTCCCAGGAAACGGCTGCCACACGGACAAAACAATAGAGCAGTGATGAAATGGTTCAAGTCAAAATCAAGTTCCAAGAAATATTCTGCTGCAATCTGTTGAATCACCAGCAATTATGAAGACGGTCAATGTCATATCCTAACTGCCAATGCTAATGGAGAGTTTCTAGAAGCAATGTGGGATATGACAAGTGGCCAGGTGAGCATTCAGAAAATCAACAAAGAGATCTAACTCCAGGAGAAATGAGAAAGTCTGAAAAGCAAGTCCAGCACCAACAGAGGCTTGTGAGAGTTGTATCCACCCATTTCAGCTTGAGACTTCTAAGACCTTGATAAGTTTGTCTCCAGGAGCAGCTATACCAGAAGAGGAACACTATGATGTGCTGAAGGAGTTCATCCGTGATCGACTTCTTTCAAAAAGTATTTTCTTTAATCTATCAAAAGACATATACACAAAACAAAGGCTTACACCACAGCATCAAACCAGAAAGTGATCCAGTTTAATGGGTTTATATTTCAGGTATTAATCAAATCACAGCTGCTTAGGTCACAAATTAGCATCTCTGAGCTAATGTGCTATTGTAGAAGAGTAAATGCTCTTGAACAATCAGACAGAGACGTATGGCTTGTGAATGGAGGATCTGTGTATTTCTCTCAGAGCAGTTCTTTTATAGCGTCCCAATCATCCCGTTATGAGCAATCATCACACTGGGCAATTACAACATGTGTGCTGTATAAAGAGCATTTCCTAGAAGTTTCTTGGCCAGACAACTGGTCTCTTACCAGGAAAGGGTGGATGGGTATGTGTGTACGTGTATCAGAACATGACATTATGACCTGGCTAAATTCAGAGGTTAGATACTTATTGCTTTGTGCCTGTTGCTGTCCAGATTGTGTGTTACCTCGAATAAGCGTAAGAAAATGGATGGATGGATGGACAATAAAAAAGACACATGGGATTCAATAAACATAATTCATGTGAATTGAAGTGTCATGTGTAGATTATTTATTTTAAAAGACCACTGTTGTGTTACAGCTGTGTGTTTCCCTGTGCCCTGTGTCCCTTCTCCCCTTCTGTTGTCTCCAGCCCAGGTGAAGCTACTAATTGCACAACGAGGTACACCTGGCCTCAGTGCTTAAAAGGCCAGTGCTGTCTGCAGAGAGGAGAGGCATTTTGTGCTGGTGCTGCTGTGCTGCTGTGCTGCTGTGCTGCTGTGCTGCTGTGCTGCTGTGCTGCTGTGCTGCTGTGCTGCTGTGCTGCTGTGCTGCTGTGCTGCTCAGTCAGGGATTGTCTGTTGTCTCTTTTGATCTTTGTTATCATTAATGTGTCATTTTGTAATAAATCCCTTTGTTTTGACTTTTGTTAAGGTGGTTAGTGTCTTTTAATGGGTCAATGTATGGTTTGCTGTTAGCCCCGTAAGGCCGCCTTTATGGTGGGGCGTAACAGTTGTATCAAGTGAATCATAAAATATTTATTAAATATTTCATTCTTTATTCAACAACATATTGTAGGCTGATGTAAACCCTATAATATTATCTATTTAAATTAAATACAATAACCATCATTTTGCCCGGCCAGTCAGCACTCAAATGTGCGTATAGAGTGTTCTTAAGTGTTCATAACTTCTGTTCTTACCAAAGAACAAAAAAACATTGATGAATCCAAAATCTGCTAAAAAATGTTGTAAGTGATTAAAGTCCAGAATTGTTCTTAAGACCAGTTGGTGAATGAGGCCCATTGTTACTAGGTCTGTGATGTCCTTTAGGTGTGTTTTAGATAGCTCTGAGTGCTTGATATTTGCTTTAATTCAATGAAATATCCTCAAGAAAACATGAAAACCATGTAAAGGAGTGGTGTACTGGCATCAGCCACAGCTCTTCTTCTGGAAATTGTACCCTCGAAAAGACGAGTCAGTCTCCTCCGTCACTGTTATTGACAAAGCTGTTGTTTTAAGTCCCGCCCCGTCTTGATTCTGATTGGCCGGTGAGGGAGAAGTGACATTGACGAGCTGCTCCAAAAGTTTGTACTGTTTTTAACTAAGAGCGCTGTGAACAAACAAACATTTTAGCACTCAGGGAGCTGAGCACTGAAAACACTGAACTCCATTGGTTTGTATTGAAAACTCTGTCTGTAAAAACAGGGCCCTAGGGACTGAAATTAATGAATTCATTTTCAATAAGTGTGAATTACTTTGTCCCTTTAGGCGTACACTCTGCAGCATCTCCCTGTAACCTCAGTGATGGAAAAGAACGACTCCACTGCGCCTTTGAATGTCTCATTTACTTAAAGAACTACACGGCTCAGTTGATGAGGCAAAAGTAATATCCACCATGTGACTTCAAACATTTCCCTTTTTCACAGTTCAGCTGTTAAGTTCATTTTGTAACCTTGATCCACAGGAAGCTCGTTATTTTCTTTCAAAATAAAAGCAGGTATTCAAACAGAGAAGTTTTTTCTTGTCACTGTGACTTTGCTAAATGTTGTTAAGTTCTGTTCTCATGATGGATCAATGCTGGGTCTTTGTAACATAACAATGAGTAAGGTCTTTTACCTGCTCTCTTGTAAAGTGTCTCGAGATAACGTGTTAACATGAATTGGCGCTTTACAAATAAAGATTGGTTGATTGATTGAGAGAATAAAGTGCCCTTAACTTAAGTTAAATAAAAAATAAAAGAATCAAAAAATGCTGTTGAATGAAAGATTATTGAGTTTCAAACATGCATTACATGGTTACAGCTAAAGTCACTTTGAATACACAAAGGTCATCTTGGGCTCAAATAGGGCTGATGAATATAGTTATGTTTTTAAATACATGAAAAGGGTAGGCATGTTTGAAGAGAATTGGACAGTGTTTTTCTTTGTGTCTTGTAAGATGTTGTGGTAAACATTTCAAAACACAATGGCAGCAAGCCCCTCAATCTTATATTTGTAATTTGTCATATGTTTCAGGTTACTCCCTGTCAAATGTCATACCTCTATCACTATTTATGGATTGATAGTATCTTTATATGTGCAGTGACATCATGTAGACTAAAGTCCCCGAGTTGGATGTGGTCATTATCATTTTGAGATGGCCAAAGGTTTATGCCAACAGAAAATAATGCTGAAAAGAAGCAAAATACCTGCTGAGGGCTGGACCTGGCTCACAGCCTTTTTACATTCCCCTTACCCATCATGCATTGTATCCATCCTGTATTACTCCTGGCCTTGGAGCCAGAGGAAGACATGTTATTTTGAAATGTGTCTAAAATATGTTAAAAAAGTGATGACTTCATTTTATTGTATTTATTTATTTTGTCAATGTGTTTCTGCTCTTCTCTCTTTGTCCTCACAGTGTGGACTAACCATGACCTTACTGAAATATCTGATTGAGAAAAACAAAGAAATAAAATGAAGAATCAATCCAGACACCAGTAAAATAATCCCTCAGTTCATCCTGTGTGTGATGGAGGTGAATGACTCAGTGAGCTGTGGTTTACTGCTGTCTTCCTGTCACAAACATTATCTGACTTCTGCTCATCTGTTGGTTTTTGTTCAGCCTGCTCGGATCATTTCTCACTGTGGGTGTTAACCAACAGGAGCAGTAGTATGTGGCTGAATGAGAGGAATTAACCTTCTGGATCTGCAGCTCAACGCCATTCTGTTTGATCACAGCTGAGAAATCATCTTTCTGAGGATGTTTGTAAAGAGCTTTGTTTACTACACCATCACTCTTTTCAATCCCCAGAATCCCTGTGAATGTTTCGTTGTCTTTTTTCTGGAACCAGTACACATAAACTGAAGAACACAGGTCTATACGTTCACAGCTGAAGGAGACACTTTCTCCAACTCTCCTGGTCAGTGACAAACTGTCCTGTTTGAGCTCTGTTGTCATGGCAGCCAGCGCTATAGAGAAACAGACAGATGGAGGTTAGTGAGACAGTTCTTTTTTTTAATAACACTTTTTTCACCTCCTCGATGAGGTAATGTTAAAACCAGATCAGGATAATCCAACAGTTTAGTTAAAGTCATTACACAGAGACAGGGCTGGTTTATTACAGGTTGAGTTTGTTGGCTCCTGATTGGCTGGAAACACTCACCTGAGCTCACACAGCACAGAGCCACAGCAGGGAGGAGAAACATTTTGTTGTTTTCCTCTGGTGAACCTGACGAGAAGTGAGGCCAAACCAGGACGAGCTGCGGGGTCAGACTGAGCCGGGCGGTTTCTAACAGGTCCTCAGAACTCCCATCAGCCCCTGCTGCTGACTGATGATTGACAGCTGGGCTGGAGCTGCTGTGTGGTTTTCTGCAGAGTCTGAGGTTTTGAAGGAGGGAGGAGGCGGAGCTAAGTATCAACAGACAGGATACAGTAACCATAGCCTGTTTCCTGTGTGTTAATAGACAGGTGTTAATGTGAACACACACTGATCTCATCACTGATATGAATGTATTTAAAACTCTTTATGTACCCAAGAAGGAACTCTTATCATGAAGAGTAGAAAGATTAAAGTTTGTGTTCAATCTTTAAAGTAGAATCAGAAATACTTCTAGATTTGGTCCTTACAGTAGCTCTCACACACAACATAGCAGTAGAAATGTAGAGAAATAAACAGAATGAAATAATGAATCTAAATAAGAGATAAAACAATAAGAACAAGAAAGAGTGTTACAGTTATGTAACAAGCAGCATGTTAGTAAAGAATAAGCTTTGTATAAAGTGCAGATTATTAAATAATGTATCCATGTATTAAAGCACAGAGAGTATTTCTCAGTAGTTTCAGTATTGCACATTGTGGTAATGGACAGATTATTGACCGTTTAAGATTCAGAGTACTGCAAAGTTTAAATAAATAACAAATGATGAATAATGGAGGATCAATCATTCAATCAAACATTTATTTATCCTTGAAAGGACATTGAGGTTTCTCCTCACTCCCAATGCCATGAATGTGCTCCTGAGTCTGACCAGCACGTCGTGGAGGAGGTGGGAGACATTCTCCAAGAGGACATGCAGCTTAGACAGCATCCTGCTTTCTGACACCGCTCCATCAGAGAGTCCAGCTCCATCCCCACAACGTCGCTGGCCTTGAGGATCATTTTGTTGAGTCTGTTGGAGTCCACTACCCTCAGCCTGCTGCCCCAGCACACAACGAAGAAAGGATAGCACTGGAAAGCACAGACTCATAGAACATCCTCAGCATGGTCCTGCAGATGTTAAAGGACCTCAGCCTCCTCAGGAAGAAGAGTAGACGGCCTCCATGTTCTTGGACCAGTCTCAGTTTATTGTCCAGATTTACTCCCAGTAATCCTCCACAATGACCACACAGATCCACTACCAGGTCCTTAAATGTTTTCTTTCTTTTTCTGTAGGCCTAATAGAAGACTACGGTATGTCAGCCATTAGCCATTATTATGAAAATGTGTTTCTTAATTTTAATTTCATAGGTTTAAATAATGTGTTTAATATTTATTCCTCTGAACTGTAAAATGTTTCTCTTTCTTGATTTATATCTGACAGCAGATTATCACAAACACTATCAGACTGCCGGCTCAAACTTTGACCTTTGAACTACCCTTTAATAATTGTGATTTACAAATAAAGTTTGATTGATTGATTAAAGTTTGGCAATGAATAAAAAAAGAGATCAAGTGAACCCAAATGGTTGTCACATTGAGTAAAGTTGCAGAGGTGGTGATTCTAATAAAAATTAAATGATACATATATTCATTGCTTGATACCATGGCAACACAAATAAAAGTCCTAGACCTGATATTGAATAGTTTCTTGTTTTTAATCTAAATTGCAGTCAAAGTCCTGCACATTGTCTACAACAAAAAAGTAGCAGGTATACACACCGGCTGAGTCGTATCTATAAAGCTCTTCTTGGTTTAGTTCCTTCTTATTTATGTCCATACCTTCAAAGAACAAGGAGACACTATGCCTTGTGTTCCTGGGAGGTTTTTAAACTGTCTGTTCCCAGTGGTGATTAGTCTGTTGGGGCCCTAGGCAGAAATTCATTGGGGGCCCCTCCAACCACCATTATGTCTGCCAGTGTTCAGACACTCTTCCTCTTTCTTTTTTCACTCCCACACAGATCATTCCTCATCATTTTCCTTTAGTGGTTTAATTGTGATGAAGGAATACTACATGAGAGGCTTAGCAGGGCAACGAGAGTGACCGCTGTCAAATGGGGCCCGATTAGGGAGGTTTCCTACTGTCATTGCAATATTTGCACATTTTGAGCTACTGCTGTGGTTTTAAGTTTGTCTGCCTTGGGGGCCCTTTCTGGCCTGGGGCCCCAAGCAGTTGCCTTCCTTGCCTGTTGACAAGCAGCGCCTCTGTCTGTTCCTCGTGTCCACGCTGACCTCGGGAAAAGAGCGTTTAGTTTTGCTGATCCCTCTGCAGGGATCTTTCTCCAGAGTGACTTCTAACTGGAAGATCTCATTTCACTTGAAGCCTTTGGTGTTACGTGTAGTGTTTGTGTTTTCTCTCTCTCCTGTGTGTGCTCCCCAGGTGTTGCTCCTCAGCCTCAGAGTGCCCAGCCACACCTGTGGCTAATTACTAATCAGGAGCAAAACTATAAAGAGCAGGAGAGAGGAGGCTGCCAGTGGGTCATTCATCTACCTGTGTGCTTGTCTTTGACGTGGAGAAAACCTGTGATCCTTCTGTGGAAGGAGTGTTTTGGTTGAGGCCTTATTCTTTGTATTGTTTGTTAGTTTTCTGATGTTTGATTAAGATTGATTGGCTTCTGTATTGTTTTGTGTTTTATAGAAGAAGCTTGTTTTGTGTTGCACCTTCATGTTTAGTTTGTTAATAAATCCTTTTAAACTTTGCTCATATTTAGTTCCTATTTCTTTTCCCTGGGTTTTAATTTATTGTTACTCCCCTCATCCCCTAGTCATCTTGGAGAACGTAGAAGACAGAAAACGTTTGACCGTTGGACTGTGTCTGTTTTTTTTTTTAATAGAAATCTGTGATCACAACTTCTGCACTTTATCTGTAAACTGATTAGCACATTGTAATTGTTGTCTGCTCTTAACTTATTGTTTGTGAACTGTTTATTAATCATGTCATGTTTATTATGACGTGAGCTGCTGCCCTCTTGGCCAGCTCACCGTCGTCAAAGAGATCTTGATCTCAGTGGGTTCATTACATACAATCAAATAAAAACATGTGAGAAGATAATGGGAAAGCTTTGATTCAGGATTTTTTCTCATTAAAAAAATGTTTTACTTGTTTTAATAATTTTTGAGAAAAATCACACAATGTCCAGTCTATGCAGATGTTTTTATTCTTTAAAGATGACATCTAAACATTTAAAAACATTATGACAAATGTATAATGATCTTTGCATTTACTTTATTTTTAACAGGCTTTACATTATAATAAGACTCTGAACTATCTAATATGTGATTTCAATAAAGCAGCCTTGGATTAATGAAAATATTCAAAGCTGTAAAAAGGAAAGCAGAACGCAAGTGAAATAAATCTGGCCTACAAATACTCTACAATATCATGAAGGACTTTTTAACACAATACAACAGAATGGTTAAGAATGAAACACAATACTTTTCTGAACTACTCTCCTCCAATCAACACAACCCAAGAATTTTATTCAAGACAATCAACCAACTAGTAAATCCAGATCCTCCAAGTGCTTCAGTTTACAGCAACGCAGATTGTGAAAAGTTTTTATCTCATTTTACTGATAAAGTGATGTCAATCAGAGCCTCAATTACCCCAAATGTTAGCTGCTCTGACTCCCTTCACCCTCAAGACAGAGTTCCAGTTTTATTCATTTACTTTAGCTGAACTTTTAGAAACAGTTTCACATACGAGAGTGTCTTCCAACCAGTGGTGTAGTGGTGCCTAAAGAAGTGGGTATACTCTTTTTACCCACAATGCTTTTATTAAGTATCCGTCCAGCAGAGGATAAAGAGCCCATGTAAGCAGATTAAGTTAGCACGTACTTGCAAATCAGAGACCGAGTAGGAGGGTGATCCCTTCACCATCCTAAGAACAAAATGCAGCATACTACTGAATATAGTCAGTCAATCAATGGTGTGAATCAGAGGAGATTTATAAGTGGGCATACTCCGTATACTCTGCACTACACCAATGCTTCCAACCCTCTTAATGTGATACCAACCAAGTTTTTACTCAAAGGAATGGACTCTGTCGGGCCCTGGCTGCTTTCAATTTTTAACAGTTCTCTGTCCAAGGGTTGGGTCCCTGACTATTTTAAAACTACCTGAGTACATCCATTGCTGAAAAAACATGGACTAGACCCCCCTCCCTGCCCCAGAACTACAGGCCAATTTCCAAATTGCCTTTTATTTCCAAGATTTAGAAAAGATTGTGTCAAAACAACGTCTCGATGTGATGGAAAATAATTGCATTTTTGAAAAACTTCATCAGGTTTCAGGAAGTTTCACAGCACTGAGACTGCCTTGCTTAAGGTACAAAATGTCCTTTTAATTGCCGCTGATGAAGGTATGTGCTCAGTCCTGGTACTCTTGGACCTCAGTACAGACACAATTGATCACAACATCCTGTTGAACAGACTAAAGCACTGGGTCAGGGTTTCTGGTACAGCATTAGACTGGTTTAAATTGTATCTGTCCAATAGAAGGTGCTGTGTGTCTGTTAATCACTTTGCCTCGGCCTTCTCTAGAGTGAACTATGGTGTGCCGCAGGGTTTGGTCTTGGGGGCCATTTTATTTTGCCTATACATGCTCCCCTTAGGGCATATCATAAATAAACACGGTGTGTTATTTCATTTTTATGCTGATGATACGCAGTTGTACCTGCCCATTAAATCTCTAGACCAAGGTATGCCGAGTTCTGTTAAAAACTGCCTGTCTGAGATTAAGAGCTGAATGTCAAGTAACTTTCTGCAAGACTGAGATCAATTTAATTGGACCACAGCCCCTTACTAAGCAAATACTGCCATCTGCTGGTCCCCTAGTAAACCATATCAACCCTGCTGCCAAAAATCTGGGTTTCTGGTTCGACAGCAACCTACATTTTGAGCAGCACACAACAAAGTCTTGTTTTTATCAGCTCAGAAATATCTCAAAAATTACATCAATTTTAACTGTTAAAGACACAGAGACGATTTTACATGCTTTTATCTCATCAAGTCTTGACTGCTGTGACAGCCTTTTTACTTGCCTGAACCAAAAATCTAAAGATCAACTCCAGTTGGTACAGAACTCAGTTGCCAGGCTTTTAACCAGAACCAGAAAGCATAACCACATCACTCCTGTTTTAGCATCTTGGAGATCAGGTCAGCCGAATCAGTCATCTCTTTTAAGTCCCTTCTAAAAACAAACTTTTACTGGCGAGCCTTTCCTGAGTTTAGTTGATTTTAAATTGTTACT